CTTGGGGGGGGGGGGAGATCTCTTTCCCAGGCGGGACAGAAAATCCTCCCCGTAGGTGCCAAATCCCTCCCTCCCTCCCTCCCTTTCTCGCCCCCCTTCCTGAAGAGCTGCCCCAACTAATGGCGTTTTGTGTGTCTGTGTGTGTCTGTGCGTGTGTGTGTGCGCGCGTGTGCGCGTGTCCGTCCGTCCGTCCGTCTGTGGGTCTGCCTGCGGCGTGCCTGTCTCTGCGTGGGTCCTCTTCTCTCTCCCCAGCAGGGCACGGGGGTGTCAATCAGCTCGGGGGGGTGTTTGTGAACGGCAGGCCCCTCCCGGACGTGGTGAGGCAGAGGATCGTGGAGCTGGCCCACCAGGGGGTGCGACCCTGCGACATCTCCCGGCAGCTGCGGGTCAGCCACGGCTGCGTCAGCAAGATCCTGGGCAGGTAAGGCCGGGCCGGGCCGGGCCGGGCCGGCCTCCGGGGCCCCTTCGCGCGTCCAAGCCGCCGCCGCCGCCAAAGAGAGAGGGGGGGGTCCCCCGAGAGGCCAGGCGCCCCTCGCCGCTTTAATTGTCTGGCACTATCTTGAAACAGGCGCCTGCTGCCGCGGGTTCGGAAAGAGGGCGGAAAGCACCGGCCCCAACCGCTCGCCACCACCCCCTGGGCTGCGAGACCGTCCGGCGGCAAGGCTCCCTCCCCCGCGCCCTCCTCCTCCTCCTCCTCCTCTCTCGCCCCCCCCAGGCCAGCAGCACCCAGCCGCCGGCCACCCCCGGGTCACCGCCGGCCTCTTGGCGGAGCCGAGCTCCGATCTTCCGAGCCCCTTTCCTCCGTCCGGGCTGGGGGTCCGCAGGGGCCCCCTTGCGGGGGGCTGGGAGGAGGGGTCCCCTCCCTCCCTCCCTCCCTCCCTCCGAGGCGGCCGGCGCGGGGCTCCGGGGAAAGGGAGGGGAGCGGCGGGGAGGGCGCAGAGGCTGACCCCGGCTGTGCCCCGGCAGGTACTACGAGACCGGGAGCATCAAGCCCGGCGTGATCGGCGGCTCCAAGCCGAAGGTGGCCACCCCCAAAGTCGTGGATAAGATCGCCGAATACAAGCGGCAGAACCCCACCATGTTCGCCTGGGAGATCCGCGACCGGCTCCTGGCCGAGGGCATCTGCGACAACGACACCGTCCCCAGCGTCTCCTCCATCAACCGGTAAGACGCAGGCGCCGGGCAGGCGTCTCTTTCTCTTCCAGACCTCTCTAGGCCGCCTTTCCACTCCGTCCAGGGGGCCCCAGGCGGCCCGGCCGGAAGCTCCCGACTCGCTCCCCGGCCCTTCCGTCGCCGCTCCTTTGCTTTGACCCA